TCGTTGCTAGTCAAATCACTCCCCGAGACTTTTCTCGCTGACTCTGGTTCTTCCCTTCCACCTTCTGCCTGCTCCGCTGGGCTGTTAATGCCCATCCTGTCGATTCTCAGCTCATCGTCGCTATTATTCTCACTTCTGGTATCGGTTAAGTAATTTCCGGTTGTATTAGGCCCCGGGTGCTTAAAGCTTCGTGCCAGCTCCTTGTCTAGCAAGCTATATCAAATGGATTTTTACCCACTTCTATCATTTGTCCTATCGTTTTACAAAAGCCGTCGGGTATCTTCAAGGTTTGACGTATACAGACACCCTTGTATTCCGCTGTCACGCCTGGATTTTTAGACGTTTACGCGGCGCAGGCTCTTCAGAAGAACAGAGCTAAATCTGTAGTCGATTTAGTTGGTCGCGACTGCAGATTTAGCTATGCTCTTTCACAAGGCTTTGGTAAACTGAATTGTAGTGCATTTCCTAACTATTCCCCTCTTTGATAGGCCTCTTGAGCAAACCAGAACCCTTTATGGGTAGGAGCGTATCCAGGACCTTGAAGGGACATGTAGATGATACTGTAAGTAAGGTTAGATAGACATCACTCTATGAAATGATCAATGAGACTTAGGTAGTCAGGATTAGCTATCAAATTATATATACAGTCGAAGCTAAGCCACCAAGATCAAGAAGAAATTGGTTGGCCAAGGACCTTGCAGCCCTAGTAAACCATTATATTGGGCATAGATGCAATTTCAAGCCCTGTCACCTGCATTTGTTATAATCACGATCTTCATTGGAGGTCAATTCTTTTACATACAAGTTCGAGGATATGAGTTATGAAGAAGTGCAAAAACTTGCCTCTACTTCCAGAAATTCTCCAAATCTAATCGTTAAAATGCCCATCTGGTGTTCAATAACCTAAAAAGGGATTGTTTCAAATACAAATATCACGAGACACCAGGACCAAGAAAATGAAGGTATGGCAACTCCCAACGCCATTATGCCTGCAAGCAACTTATCATACTGTCAAATCATCAGACCACTATATGCAAGATTGAAAGGCGTATAACCACCTTACTCCAAATTCTGGTGATTGTCGAGTAAGTAGGTCGCCACGTGTCATGATTCAACGCATGATGCGCGCCACGATCATATGACTGGCGAAATGAGGCGCAAACATGTATACTGAGGAAGAATGTGTCATGTAACTAACGTTGTTAAATGCGATAATGTATCGAGTTTTATACAGTATTCATAAGGTGATCATCAGGCAATTCAAGGTTTCATAAGCACCAGCATACGTTATTATAATACATGTAACAATAGAATAGTGGAGAGGGTATGTAACAAAAACAATGATGCCATTGGTCTGCTTGTATAACTAAGAGGTATATGCATATGGGTCCAGATTCCAGAAACAAGAGAGCTGTTACCTCCAGCGCAGTAACATCAAGAAAGCTTGTAACCAGAACTACAAAACCCTAAATTCTGACTCTGGGAGCCTGTGAGTCAATAGAGAATTGCGGTCAAGCTAATCAAGCGTCTCATAACAGCTTTGCGACATCTGTGTAACCCTAACTGTGGATAGTAAGTCCGCATTCACTAAGGGAAGAATCGTATTGCAACTCTAGGCCATTCGGCTGCGGTTCAGGCTTCAAGAGCTCAGGCGAGGTCCAGTATATCACATACATCGTCTTAGATACTCTAATTCGTCTGATCTGAGAACTATGTATTGTCTCAGGCAATTGTTAGGCCAAGTTTCACAGCCATTGGCATGTGGTTAGCAACAAATTCACCTAATCTATTGAACTCTCAGTTCCTATCAGAGACTTTTTTTTACCTTTGCATGGGCCTAAGGACATTGATAACTTGCAATTAGAAATATATATGTGACCATATAGAGCTGATAGGCGAGTTTCAAGTTTCACCGCCGGTTTCGACTAGGGGTTTTTAAAATGAAATAGTTTACAATAGCTAGAGAACCATCCTTGTAATTCAAGATAACAGGCTCAATACGCGCATAAAGAACAAGGAGATACCACGACGGTATAATTATAAACAAGCTTAAAGACATAACTTGGGAACCTTCAAAGTACCAGCTAATCACGCCTGCATTTCTCTTTCAAATAGTGTTCATTCTAAGCATGAGACATTGCAATTCGGTACAGGTAAACGTGGTATGGTCAACTGCATTGTATTTCTTGTATGCAATTTCATGCTTCGAGATTTTCTATCAATTTAACTCTTATAAGAAAACAGATAAGTTCCTATCAATAGATGATACTTCGAACAATAGTGAGTCTATTCTATACAACGTGAACACTCGGCTTCTCATCAACAATCTCACTCTTATGCTGCTCCAGCAGATTCTCACTGAATACCATGCCCCAGGCAAAGCGCCCTTTATCAGCGCCGAGGCCTCTTTATCATGCCCTCGACGCATAGTCAACAATGACAAGGGCATGTGATAAAGCCTCAATGCAACTCACGTCTAGTCTGCAGCTAGCGTAAGAGCGCGTAGCGACCTATCCACTGCAGCTGAAGAGAGTCCCTCACTCCCTTCTCAGTAGCGCGAAATGTAGGATAGGCTATGGATTAACCCCTAATTCAGAACACGATGTGATGCGCAGAGGATGAATTCATAGTATCCTCAAAGTCAGCTTACCAGCGTCACGGGAAACTCCGTTAAGATGCAGTACGACGGCCTCCCGCCGATCATCTCGTGTCTGAAGTAGCCTCGTAGCCTTATCCAAAGGTGTGTATATCATCCGGTCCATCAGGCTCTATTGACAGGGCTAGGTGAAGATGGTCGCAAGGGGTGTGTTGCTCGAAGTAGAGGTACATACACTACACGATAGGTGTGGCTTGTGGCGAGGATACGTACTTCGTTATGGCCACATGAAAGCCACTGCTATTGCCAGGGATCACCAATAAGCCACGGACAAAGGAATTCGCCATCATGACAGCATCGACTTTAACGTTACCTAGGGAGTTGCCGTGTGGTGGTCAGCAACGACGATGCCGGAGATCCAATCAATGCGGCAAGCGGGTTGTATAACTGTTTTCACATAAGGAACGATACGAAGGAAGTCCCCTGCGAGAGGCGACGACTTGGGCAGCCGATCTTATCATTGGGGGGAGGGAGATATGTTCAGGGTCCCCATCCTGTTGTATGATGTAGTGACAGCTGCAGGTCCCAAGCTCGGACCCGAAGGGCTACGGGAAACGTTCCAGAAAGGTTGCTACGAGCGCTAAGAATAGACTAATAATTGTATGAATAATTGTATGATATTCTGGGGTCTACGTAGTAGCGGCCAATAATTGATTTTTGGCTATCCCACCACGTTACAGGGGGAAATGGAACCTTGGCTAGGGGAATTTGGCCGCTCCCTTCAGCATGGTAACAACCGCCCTAGCGGTCGCCCTATCATTCGCGGAAATGATCGACGTCTTTTTTT